AATCCATCCATTTATTCATCCATCCATTCATCCATTTATCCATCCATCAATTTATCCATCCATCCATCTATTTATTCATCTATTTATTCATCCATCCATTCATCCATTTATCCATCCATCCATTCATCCATTTATCCATCCATCCATTTATCCATCCTTCCATCTATTTATTCATCTATTTATCCATCTATCCATTTATCCATTTATTCATCCATCCATTCATCCATTTATCCATCCATCCATTTACCATCCATCCATTTATCCATCCATCCACCCATCCATTCACTTACCCATTTCTTTCTTACTGGGTTGTGCTGGTGCCTATATCCAGCAGTCACTGTGCGAGAGGCGAGGGACACCCTGGACAGGTCTCCCGTCCATCACAGGGACACATAGAGACAAACGAGACAACATTCACTCTCTCACTCACACCTAGGGACAGTTCAGAGTTACCATTCAGTCTAACATGCATGTTTTTGGTCTGTGGGAGGAAACCAGATGCTGAAGAAAACCCACACATGCACGTAGAGAACATGCAAGCTCAACCGCGCCACTGTGACACTACATAATATATCTTTTTATAAATTTAGGAGAGAGCAAGCTTCAATAAGATGAGCAGGGACTGCGTTTCTAATTTAGTGGTCTCAGCTGTAAAAGTATTATTTAAAAATATAGTCCTAAACCAGAAGGTGATTTCCTAAAAACATAATAAAACTATCCTATAATCCTATAATCCTATAATAAAACTAGTGGTTTGTTCCACTTTGGAGTAAGTTGTTTGGGGGAAGAATCAGTTTTGTGTTGTGTTTCCTTGACTGATGAAGCCTTCTGGATCGAAGCTGAAACGTTTCAGCACACACAAAAAAAAGAATTGTCCAGATGACCTGACTGAAAATTGTTGGATTGTATACCTGGATTATTGAGCATGGAATTTTTTTTTTTTTAAATAATAAAACTACTAAAATTATGTTACAGCTTTTGGTTTTGGTCTGCCACCCCAAGATTATCAGTGGCCCCCATTTGTCCCCCTGAAGGTGATGCCCCTGTGTGTTGCAGCTCATTGCTTTTGGAGACTGTGAAGGTTTGAAGGCTTTTTGAACAGTCGTCATTTTGTTTAGAGTAATTAAGTTTGTTGGGTTTTAAAATACAGCAACAGAAATGACCAACAAAGAAGTAAAAAAAAAAAAAGGCTTTGTTCTCAAGTAACTATTCTGTTGTTAGTTATCTGTTTTTCTCCGTGTGTGTGTGTGTGTTTGATCAGTTTATGTGGGGCAGACTTTGCTCAGACTTGTCCAGCCATAGTTTTTCCTCCTCCTTCCCATAAAGTTGTTAGATGTTCGAGGATCTTAAAGCTTTAATCGTTTTGTAGGAATTCTGGCTCAACTTCAGGAGTCTGAACGTCTGATGATTTCTTTTTATCCAGCCTTTTGTTTTTTTTTAAGTCTGCTAAGTCTTTTGGAGGATTATTCAAATAAAAAATAATTACACTTTATGTTTCTGACAGCCCTGGTTTTACATATTATTGAGCATGCATCAGGAGGTTTTACATATAGTTTTGTAGGAAGTTACTGCATAGAGAAGTCTAAAAATAACACAGGTTTCAGTCGTGAGAATAATCAATATACGTTATTTTTTATATCATGTATTGATGTTTGCCTACTTCAGTGCAGCTAATATTGTGCATCAAGACATTTTTAATGTTGTCTCAGAAAAAATAAAAATTTGCAAAATGTACAATGAATAGAAACAAGTTATTTGCAAAGGATTTTTTTGTTGTTGTTAAAAATAGAAAAGAGACATGTAAAACTTTATTGTTGTTCTTCTTTCGGCTGCGAGCAAACTTGTGTAAATGATTTGACGATTGTTTTACACCAGTCGTCCTTCCTCACGCAACCTGGGCTCAAACCTGCAGACTCAGGATTATGAAACCGCAGCACTGACCGCTGAGCTACACTGGGCCCCAAAGTTTATTGTTGCTTGAAAAATTAATTCAAAAATTAATTTTAGGCTTGGGGCCGATGTCATCTATTAAAATAATTGTGTTGGGCAAGTTGATATGAAATGTTACCTTTGAAGTGATAAACTTTTGTGTGGTTTTAAGTTTTTAAAAAAATATCCTATATACCATATTTTTCGGACTATAAGGCTCATTAAGTGAAACAAAACAGATAAGTCAAACTTTATTCAACTCATTCACAATAGTCACATAAAATCGGTTCGAGGTCAATAAGCATAACCAGAATTAATACATAAGTCGCACTGGATTATAAGACTCACCGTTGATTTTTGAGAACATTAAAATATTTTAAATGCACCTTATAGTCTGAAAAATACGGTAATTTAGTAAATATTTTAATGTCTTTGCGATTACCATTTAAAATGCAGCAATATTTTAACTGGAGGTCAGAGCTACAAGAGTTTAGAACTAAACATAAATTTAACCATCCCTTGAAGAACTTGTGCACTTAATTTTTATTATTTATTTATTTATTTGTATGGATCTCACAATAAAATAAATTAAATTGTGGCCTACTTTAATGTTGCCTCAGAAATTAAAAGTATACAAAATGTACAATGAACAGAAACAAGTTATTTGCAAAGGAATAGTAGGCTGGTGTGTTTTTATGTCCCCAGCTGGTAATTGGTTAGAAATACACAGCGTTGTCTCCTGTGCACAAAGATTTGCGTTGATTTGATAATTCAGTTATTCACCATTATCTTTTTCAACAAAAGTAAGATGTTAAAAAAAAACCGTACTGAAACACAATAAAAGCAAAATAGCTCTGTTAAATCCACGCAGGGAGGTGCAACATTAATGCGATGAGTTTGGGTTTTTCTGCCTCTTTTCTTTAAACCTGACCTCAGATTTCGGCTCTTTTCTTTTTTTAGCCTGTCCTTCCTTCATCCATCCCTCCATCCCTCCATACCAGACTCCAAGCCCAGTGTGTTTAAGTTACAGCATAAAACCTGTTGCTTTTTACAGGAACATGTGCACACACGCCTGACAAGCGCGAGCTCTACGTGCGTGGTTGTTACGACTGTTTGCCTTTTGAGTTTTCTCTGACCGTGTTTGTGTGTCGCAGGAGAAAGACGCAGGAGAAGATGAGGACGAGGAAACCGTCGCCACGGCAACAATGGTAAACAGCAACTTTACAGCTCTGTAGACGAAACACAAACTGCTTCAAAACCATTTTCACCTTTAGGACATCTTATCTTTTCACCCACAACATCCCACATTATCACCTAAAGATCGTATTGCTGTAAACATCAGTGCCGCTGATTCCCATCTGTACAGTCGGTCGGACAGTTTCCACCAAGCTGTGCTTCACAGAGCAGCTGACGTAAACCTGGAGGTTCAGAGAACTGCTGTGGCTGCAGTGTTTGTCTGTAAACACGGCGCTTATCAGCCTCAAGCTGATCTCTGGAAACCTGAACTGTTTCTTGTTATGGCGCATACTTGTATTGTTAGTCTTAGCCAAGGACGGAGCAGGGAAACGAGGTCAGGATGGTCATTTAGCTCTTTTATGAACAACGTTTCATTTTCAGTACAATGTCAGATTAGTTGCTGTGCAGAAAGAAAGGAATGTAAGACACGAGAATTGCTGGAATTGCTATTGTTTGTTTTGTCACAATTTTGCCACAATTTGACCATTTTGATTACCGTACTTGCTGCCGTACACGTCACACTTTCGTATAAGTCGCATCAGTCCAAATATGTCTAATAAAGTGGAAAAAACACAAATATGTCGCTTCGCCGTATTAGTCGCATCTATTATTTGTTTGTTACGCGTCACTGCTGACAACCCGGAAACGTGAGCCAGTGTTGTGCCAAAAATCGAATGATGACCAAGTGGTGGCAGCGGGAGCTTGCACAGGAAGACTTTAACAAGAATTTAACAAAATTTACACTTAAAAACAATTATTTGTTTGCTCGAAATGATAGCAAAGGTGTGTCTCAGTTTAACTTTTCCTTAATAAATGCACTTTGAAGGTCAACTCAGCTGCATTTCGCCTGGGCGGCACAGTGAAATGCAGCTGAGTTGACGTTTGCTCCAGAAGTTCCAGAGCGAGACGAAGGTGGGGTGGTATGGAAAGCCAAGTGTCTCATTAATAGCCGTTTGTACCTATTAATGAGACACTTAGCTTACCATAATAGTCGACGGCCCTCTAGTGGCTGAAAATGGTAGTGTCAAATATTTTACATGTCCTATTGAATGAAATCGTCAGATCTCAGACAAAAATTGGATTATAAATATGGGGAAAAAAACAAAAACGTTGCTTTGCTGTGTAAGTCGCAGGACTTGCACATTTAAACAAAAAATACAGTATATCAACTGCTGAAGTAATATTTTATTATGTCATAAAAGGGGAAAAAAATGTATTTGAAGCCAGTTGGTAAGAAATAAAAGCATCAAGAACATTTCTCTTCATTCTCAACATGCTTTGAAATGTATTTTTGACCGTTAATCTGCTTCATTATATTGTATAGTTGCGATAAATAACTTGTTTTTAAAATACCACCAAATTTTAAAACCAATATTTTACTGGCTAAGCATATTTTCTGTGATTTATTAAGATAAAAGCTGCAGTTGAAAACCTACAGGCCATCAGTAGCACTTGGAGTGTGTCTTTAATGACTCTTGGCTTCACAAACTGTAATATTTGACTGATTAAGTCATTTTTAGCCTTTTCTAAACTGAGTTGGTTGTGGCGGCCATCTTGAATTGAAATAGCATTAAAGTTAATCAGTTTTAGATGAGCATCCATTGATTACGCTCTACAAGTTTTAATAAAAATGTTTCCAGCGTTTCCCTCAGTATCGCCTGCTGTTTGGCTACACTGAGGGAAACTTCAGGAAAGGAGGTGGTGTGGGGGTCTCTGCAAAAGATACACACTGTTAGTATAAGACACAGCAACCTGAGTGCATCTTTAGTATTTAATAACAAACACATTGTATTATTGCTACGATTTTGTACTGCAGCTATATCATAATTCCTGTGAGGGGCTGCTGTTCGTCACATCAGACATCGTGCAACAAAGAAGAAACAACCGTGCACCTCGAAAATCATTATTAAACGTTGTGTACACTTGTTCTGACTGCTCGTGAAATGAAGACGAGCTACAACAAAACAGAAGCACAAGTTCAAGCAAACCCAGCAGTTCAAAGAGCTGAACCGCATCAGGTCTCAGGCTAGATTATTCAGGAAGCATCCGTCTGTGGAGGTAATCTGAGCTGACACGTCGCCATGCAAATTCATAACCATTAGAAAGTTCATGTTTACTGCTAACGTTCATGTAAAACAGTATGCCTCATTCTAAACTGTTATATTATTGTGTGAATGTTTATGAAGCATTCACACTGTTGGGATCCATTTTTTCTTCCATATGTTTTTTAGCATCTTTCTCGTTCTACAATTTTTGTGCTATTTCAGCAAATCATAAAACATTCAGCTCTGTCAGGATAATCCTGTTATGACTTTTGGTATTGGTGTAACTTTAGCTTTTTGAGATATTTAGCCTTTTCTGCCACTTTTTTCCTAATAGAAAAAGAATTGAGCTCATTTTACATCCTTCAAATCTTTAGATCTGTTTACAACCTTTTACTGCGCCTTTCACATTTTGTTCTTGTTCAGCTTCTTTCAGCTTCCTTGTGCAAAATTAGACATTTTTTCAGCTGTTTTTTAATCTGTTTTGTGTTTCTTTCAGATTCTTTCTGCTAGCTACATTTTTGTGCTTTTAACTTTTAACATTTCATCTTGTTGTGCTCCTTTGAGTTTTTTTTTGTGCAAGTTTAAGTTTTGTTCTACTGTTTAACATATTATTTAGCTGTTTTTATGCTAATTTAAGCTTTTTCAACCAATTCCACATGTTTTACACTCAAACTTTTTTCAGCCTAATCCAGCAAAAAGTCTGTTCTCTCCACCTTTTTTGGTAATTTCAGCTTCTTTTTGACTTTTTTTTAGCTACTTTTCAACTGTTTTTTTGCTAATTTCAGCATTTTTTCAAATGATTTCCATTTTTTTTGTGTATGGTTTTCTGCTTCTTTCAGCCTAATTAGGCTAACGTGTACTTTCAGCCTTTTATGCTAATTTAAGCTTGTTCTACCCTTTCAGCTACCTTTTTAAAAATTTTTAGCAAATTTCAGCTGTTTTCAGATAAATTTAATTTTTTTGTAGTAATTCAATGCAATTCAGTTTATTTATATAGCGCCAAATCACAACAAAGTTGTCTCAGGGCACTTTACAGACACATTCACATACATAAAAGCCAATTAGTAAAGTTCTCTAACTAAGGAATCCAGCAGATAAGTTAAAGCTTGGCTTCGTTGCAGTCTCCCATCCTGAGCAAGCACAGTGGCAACAGTGGAAAGGAAAAACTCTCTTTTAAAAGGAAGAAACCTCCAGCAGAACCAGGCTCAGGACAAGCGGCCATCTGCTTTGACTGACTAGTATGAGAGGACAGGAAGGAGACAGACGAACACAGAATGGTAGGTCCAGGTAAAGGTCCAGGTGTATCTGAAAGACAAAAAACACATGTTAAGGATAGAAAAAATAATTACAAATACAAAACAGGTTGAACAGAGTGAGTAAAGACAGTAGCAGAGTGAAAAGTGTGGTCAGTTTGTCCTCCAGCAGTCTAAGCCTATAGCAGCATAACTAAAGGACAGCTCAGGAAACCCAAGCCGACCCTAACTATAGGATTTAGCAAAAAGGAAAGTCTTAAGCCCAGTTTTAAAACTGGATAATGTGTCAGCCTCACGGACAGAGATTGGAAGTTGGTTCCACAAGAGAGGAGCTTGATAACTGAAAGATCTTCCTCCCATTCTGCTTTTGTAAATTCTAGGAACCACAAGTAAACCTGCAGCCTGAGAGCAAAGTGCTCTGTTAGGAAAATATGGAACAATAAGATCTGTAATATAAGATGGAGCTAGGTTGTTGAGAGCTTTGTAGGTTAGAAGTAAGATTTTGAATTCTATTCTGGATTTGACAGTAATGTCTGATACTTTCAGGCTGATTAACTTCTTTATATTAATTTCAGGTTGTTATGCTCATTCCAGCTTTTTTCTGCTAGTTTCTGCTATTCTAGCTACTATTTAGCTGTTTTATGCTAATGTTTGCCTTTTCAGCTAATTCTACTTTTTTTTTTTTTTTAACTAATTTCATCTCTTTCCACCTCATTCTGGTAGTTTAATAGCCTTTTCGGCTATTATTATATTTTTGCTAATTTTTTGCTAAATTTAGCTTTTTTTTTTAGCTAATTTCTTAATTTTTGTGCTCATTTCTGCTTATGTAAACCTAATTCAGCAAATATGTGTTCTTTCTGTTTTCTTCTACTACTCAAGGCTAGTTCTTCATTTCAGCTACATTTCAGCATGTTTTTAGCTCATTTCAGCTGGTTTTCAGCAATTTCCTATGCAATAAGCACTCGTACTGCATTTTCACAGGAAATGCAATTCCTCTAGTTACCTTTTAGAAGGATATTCATCTGGTAAACGTGTTGTTGATGAAAGGTTCAGGTTTTAATCCATGCATGCCATTGTTGCTCATTTGCACTTGGATCATTATGCTTGTGGACATACATGTATATTTTCTGTCATCACTCTGTTCATGAGAGATGGCTGTGCTGACAGAAATGTTTAATCCAACGTGTATTGCAGCTAAATTTCTTCTTCATGTGTAAAACAAACCAGGCGACATCTCTAACCTCGGCTTGGCTGCCTGGTTTAACCTGCGGTGACCGCATGCAACCACGCTCAGGGGAAACATTTCTTGATCTGTGCTGTTTGTGAGTGTTGGATGGCTGGACCGGAGAAGGGAAGGAAGCGCAGCATTCTTTTGAGGAGCTGTGCTTTTTAGACTGGAACAATCTACAAAGGAAAAACAGGCTGAAAATAGCCACCGGCTGCTTGGAAGCTGTGGATGGCTACAACTCTGATACACTTTGGTGTTTTATGCTCATATTAGGACAGAGAAAGTGTTCAAGGAGGCCTGGAAGAAAATGTTAGATTAGTTTGAAGCACGGTTTGAGTCGTGGCTTTACTGATGGTCAAAGTTCATGCTGATGGACGTCTCATTTCTAAATAGGTGATTTAAAGTGCTGAAGTGTTGTGTTGTCATCGTATGTTTCTAATGCCAAAGTTAGTTCTCTGCATTTAACCCACACACGTGAGATACATCCAGGTGGAGCAGTGGGCAGCTGTGTAGGTGCCTGGGGAGCCGTTAGGGATTGGGTGTCTTGCTCAGGGGCACCACGACGTTGTGGGCATGGCGGGGAGTTGAGCCTGCAACTTTCTGGTTCCAGGTCGGCTGCTCTACCTCTACACCATCTCAGCCCCTTTAAGGCAGTGACAAGAAAACAAATTGTTTTTACAGTGTCTCAAAATGCCCAACTTTTGAAGATTACCACCTTTGATGCTGTCCTTTTTTTTTACATCCTATTTATTCAGCCAAGGAAATATTTATTTGTAGTAAGTTTAGAGAACGTAAAAATGAAAAGATTTCAAGTGACAAAGCAACACCAATTCTGACATGAAAGTAGTAGCTAGGATCTTTTGGAGGGGGTTCTCTGTGGGGGGTGGCACAGCAGTTAGCACTGTTTCATTGCAGTAAGTAGGTCCTGGATTTAACTTTTGCTGGGGCCTTTCTGCACGAAGTTCGCATGTTCTCCTTGTACATGTGTGGGTTTTCTTTAGGTACTTTGGCTTCCTCTCCTATTATAAAAAACATGCTTGTGACTGTAAATACTGTAGGTGTGTGTGTGAATTATTTTTTGCAGGATCAAGCAGGTAGAGAAAATAGAATGAATGGATGGTTCTGTGGGAAGCGTATGAACAACTAGAAAGCTCCTGGGGAAACTTTGACGGGGACTGCCACATGGCGGCCATTTTAAAGATTTGATTTGACACATGTTGAGGTTCACTCTCAGCCACCACCATACCAAATTTCAGCTCAATATGGCAAAAAGAAAAAGAAGAAGAAAAAAAATATATATATCAATGTTATAGTCATTTTTGAATGACTGAGTTATAGTCAATTTGAAGTTTTCTGCGGTAGTTGTGGCAGCCATCTTGATCCAGAATGGCTCTAAAAGTTAATCAGTGTTTTGTTCAGAGACCGCTCCACTCTAGGTCATGTGACCTCGCTGTAGCAGTTAGACGCTGTTAAGAGTTCTGTCAGTGTTTTTTAATGAGAAAAATGGCATATTTGTTTGCAAATTACATCGCCATGGTAACTTGAAATGCTAATAAAAGTAATAGCCCACATCACGGTGCCGAGCCGGTCGTTTTGATATAACATTTGTGGGGGTACACATTGCAGGTCGGGCCGCATTAAAGTTGACGGAAGAGTAAGATATAAAGTTAAGAAACCCGTGTCTGGTGGATAATAATAGGTGGTTGCCTTACTAGGCAGTCCTCAATTAATATATAACTTTGTATAGATAGCTCTTTAAAAGCCCTCAGTTTGGAGAAGTATTTTCATACGGATCCAACTAACGAGCTAACGGCTCATCTGAAGGAGCCAAGACCAAAATAAGACCAATATGGGTTGCTGCAGTCTTAAGCATCAGTCACAAAAACAACAAAAACTTATAGGGCAGGGCCATTGAACTGGTGGCCCGGGGGCCAAATCAGGCCCATGTGTGAGCTATGTTCGGCCCACTAGTTAATGGGTTCATTTTTTAATCAAACTAGATTTTAAACCAGAAAACAAACTTACTTCGTTCAACTCTAACTACTACTGGATGTCTGGCCCCTGAACTCTTGGCGTTCGTGGCCCCGTGAGCAATTTAGTTGAACAGTCCTGTTATAGTGGTTCATGTGAATTATTATGTTATTAACATTTACATTGCCATTAACTTTACATCACATGGTTCTTTCCATAGAACTTGATGTTTATTTGCAAGCACAAATAGCAGCAATAGTTCCATGTCAGAATATCGCTGTCTCAAGAACGGTTTATGCAAACTAACAGCTGTATAAAGGTTCATAAAATAGCATTTGCTTAAACTGCCTTGAAATATCTAGGACTGGAGGACTTTTAAGTTGGCAGCAATCCAATTTTGGGCTGTCCCCTTTCACAGTAGCAGTCAGGTCCAGTCAAAATTAAACCTTTTCGTCAAACTGAGGTTGTTCTAAAAGCTTTTTTTTTTTAAAGCTGATCTATTGCCTTTAGTACTTTAATTCCCCTTCAAAAGTCATAACCCAGTTTAATATATTCTGAATGGTTTCTTTTTTGTTTTTAACCTTTTGTTAAATTCAAGATCCTAAATTATTCAGCTGCTTAGTAAAAAGTTATTCCTGAAAGAATTTATCTTAATTAAAGGCGGTATTGTTGTGCCAGGCGTGGAGCTGGAGGTAATGATCCCCCTTACAGCGAGCCAGGGGGCTGCTTGGTTTACCTTCTGGGTCGGAGAGATTACTGCTCACTGAGCCGCTTTCAGTCTGCAGCGAACAGTGAATAGGCCAGCCTCTGTATGAGCGAGCGTGCAGGATACACAGCTAGAATTTAGCTACAGTGCTTCTACATCTGTTTTTCGTCAAAACTCCTCCGAATCTGCTCGGTTTTATTCAGAAGAAAGAAGAAAAAAAAAATAAAAGACTTGGAATAAAGAAGGAGAGCCAGAGCAGATATAGAGTTCTGAAATACTTAAGATTATAACTTGTAAATATTTATTTAATGATGAAATCTTGCAGCTGGTTTGCCCACAGGCATGTGTTTTGCAATGACAGGTGAGAGGAGGGTATTTGTTTTTGCCATTTATCAGCATCTTTCACAGCCTGCTTACTCGTCGGACAAAAGGTTCTGCTAAACGTTAGTTTAACCTACACTTGAACCTTCTGAAGCCTGGTCCGGTGATGCGTCTTCCTGAAGCTGCTCCTGTTTGGTTTGGGAGCTGCATGCCTTCTTATCTAACACGTTGTGCTTGTTATAACTGCTTCCCGTCTCAGACTTCAAGAAAAGGCTCTTCATTGTTGACTGTGTTCAGGGTTTTGAACTCGCCTCCTTCTCACAGGTGGAAAAACTGAAACAAAAGATGCTCAGTGAAAGCGCTGCCGGGGTTAAACCCATTAATCAAATAATATTTTGTGTACTGAGCGCACAGTGAAGCAAAGGCAGACACGGATGTGAGGAGGAGTAAAGACCTTGACAGCTGAGACTGAGAAGTTTAGGGAGGAATTCTGATGGGGGAGACCAGAAGGTACAGAGGGAGTGGATTAACTCCCACTGGATATGTGTAAAGCCAGCAAGGCTTATGAAAGAATTTCAGACAAATGAACAATTATCGATGTGAACACAGTCACTTCTCTTTATTCCTGTCAAGCTCTCATTACAAGCAGAAATCACCCCCAAAGAAACATCAGCTGTAGCAACCTAAACTGTAACAGATGAGGAAAATACTTTTAATGCTACAGTTTTATATCAAATTATGTTTTTTTCTCCTGTCCATTCTTTTGTCAGGAGGCCAAGGTGAAAAAGATCATGTCCAAGAAGGAGAGAAGGGAGAAGAAGATGCTCTCCTCTAAGGATGATGAACACTTCTTGCTGACAGGAGTAAAGCTGGCTGATCGCAAAGGGTGAGTTTGGCACATGTTCACCTAACATCTGGGCAGCTGTAGTGAAAATCTTCACGGACTTGACAAATTAACTGAAATAAATCAACAAATGTGACTACAGGAATATGTTTCAAAAAGGTCAAAGGGGTTATTTTGAACCTTTTGAAGGGAAGTTCTGTTGAACAACGTTGGACAGTTATTATCTTATCTGTTGCAGATAACTTTTTGAACAACCTCAGAGTTATTTCTGATCAGACAGGGTATGAGTCTGAGTGGGACCAAGAACAAAGTGGTTTGTTGCACTTTTAAAACAACTCCGATCTCAAAAATGTCATAGCAGTTCAAGCAAACATTATTGACAAGTGGTCACCTATTTAATTAGCTTTCCACAGAATCTCACTGTAATACGTTTGAAATTATTCCTTTAAGCAAGTGGTTTTTAAGGGGGGCAAAATTTCTCTCACAAATCTGCAACTTGTTGCACATTAAGTAGGCCTGTCGCGATAAACAATAAATCAATTAATCAATTAATCACATGATAAATGAAAATTATCGACCTCATTTTCATTTGTCAGCTAAATTGTTTCTTCGTGTCTCTCTCTTTCTACTGAAGACACTGGATGACAAAAGGCTCAAATCCAGTGCTCTTCACGGACCCCTCCCTTTCTCTTTTCTCTTTAAAATCCATTTTAACCATCTAAAATCGTGTTTTTGGATCGCTAAAAGCAGCTAAGCTGAGAAGCTAAGCTACAAGCTAAACTAACTGGCTGACCTCGGAAAAAAACCTCCGTCTTGTCGAATCTCCAAAAATTCACGGTTGAAAGCTCCCACAGCAAGGAGACGTCTAAACAACGTCTTTTTAAAGCCGTTTTTGCACGTCTAATTTTGGTCCCTTGCAGGTGCAGACTATAACTCCAGATGACGTCTTTTTCCGACGTCCATTGGACATCTAATGTTTAGTGGGCTGTGACTTTGTGTAAAAAGTTGTTTTTCTCTGCAAAAAGAAGCTGAGAACTTGTTTACCAATTTTTTTTTAATTAAAAGCTTTGTGTGAAAAATGCTATGTTAAAGAGCTCAAACCACACGGAGCATCTGCCATTTTGAGAACCGAAAAAAAGGAGAGACAGCTCATGTCACGTCAAAGGGCCTCCCTCCCATGTCACTATCCATCCTTCGGTTCAGTCTTATACTGCCATCTGGTGGTCAAAAAAAGGTACTACACTCTAAACAAATTACCAACATTTCTTCTTAAATTTGACAATAACGATTAATTATTGTCAAATTTTGTCAATTTTTTTGTCCTGAACTTTTTTAAATTGTCAAATTTCAAACAATATTATCGTTTATCACAATAAATTCTGAGACAATTAATCGCCCAGCAAAATTTGTTATCGTGACAGGCCTATCATTAAGCCTTATTGATGTATCATTGTCCACTTAACCCGTTAACTTTATTGACTTAAATTTAAATACAGAAATTCACAAGAGACGGTTAAGGTGTAAACAAAGATGCAGCCCTTATTATGCACAAGCACCGAAGGTGGGGAAAACTGACTTCAAGTGTCTTTTAGTCTTTTTTTATTTCCTGAAAATTAAACCTAATGCCTGAAAATTAGAAAATACGCCAAGAGCGACAAAAACTTTGGCACGTTTTATATTTTTTGGGGGAGAAGGTGTACCAAACTGGCTGAATGGTGCTTGCTAAACTTCAGCATCTTATACTACTTTGTCTTCACTTGCAAAGCTGCGGGACATTGAGTTGTTTTGGCCTCGGTGAAAATGATCACATTTAAGTGTTGTTACAGGATTAAACTTTCAAATAAAAAAAAAAGTGAATACTTGATAGTCTTTGAAACACTACAGGAAGTAAACTTATTTTAAAAAGCATCAAAGTTTGTAATAAATTGCATCAAATTAAGTTTTTTCAAGCAAAACATTTTTATCATTACAGTAGTCCATCATCACAGGGGTTATGTTCCAAACACTCTCGTGATAGGTGAAAATCCACAAAGTAGGGACATTATATTTATTTTAGCATTTAAATATATTTCAAGGCTTTATAAGCCCTTCCCAAATTCTTGCAATGTTCTTAACAATGTTCTAAACTCTCTAAACGTTCTAAAAGAGCACAGCGAAAGAGAGCAGACAGACTGATGCTATGATGGTGTAGAGGCAGGGCAGCCGGCTTGGGACCCGAGAGTCCCAGGTTCGATCCCCAGTCACTGCACATCACGTGGCGTCTCTGGGCAGCACGTCTAATCCCCAAAATGTCCCCCGGGCGCTTTCAATAGCTGCCCACTGCACCACCTGGTGGTGGATGGGTTAAATGCAGAGACTAATTTCGCCATTGTATGGAAACATACAGTGCTGACATTGTGATGACATTATTATTATTATTATTATTATTACTGAGCTAGTCAGTGCCTGGGGGCAGACTGGCCATCGGGAGCACTGGGACATTTCCTGAATATTCGGGAAATGTCCCGGTTCGGTTTGGGTTGGCTCGGTTCAGGTTAAGGCTCAGTTCGGGTTTTGCTTGATTATTTTAAATAAACAATCCATGCCGTGCACTCTGGTATCCACCTCTGTGATCTGCCTCACTGAAGCTACCACAGCAGCAGACAGACCCCGCCCCATGGCGATCATTGAGCGGCCAGGCCACCGAGAAACAATGTGTACAATCTTACGTTGAAAACCCACGAAAGAGTGAGTCTGCGAAAGTTGAACCGCAAAGTATTGAGGGACTACTGTATACTTTGGGCATATTTGTCCTCTAGTATCCATCAAGAGGTGCTGTAGCACCCTGTACACCCCTACTTCCAAGGCCTTGCAAGATAGCAGTACAAAATTTAGACGTGCCACTTAAATCAAAATAAACACTTTTATACTTTTGACAGGGTTACTTAGGTCTAAATTCTATTGATATTAAAGAGGGAAACAGCCTCAACTCAAGCTCTGCACATGAATACAACTCTTAGTTTTTTTGCAGTACGCTTGTTTTCTTACAATCATACATTTTAAATCAAAGTTGAATTACTTACTAAATGTTTCTGGAACCTTTTATGATATCAAACTGCGTAACATTAGTGGTTAATTAATGGGTTTTAGGAGATAAAAACAACTTCTGTTACATGTACAGCATATTGCACTAGCCAAAAGCCCTTCTGGTTCACATCAAGTCAATATATCAGCACTTTGTTGCTATTGTTGGTCAAGTGTGTGAATAAAAAACATTTACACACTTGACCAGAAATAATGGAGTCACACCCAACTACTTGTGTTTGTTCGACTGTAATCCTGAGCTTCGTTTGCCAGCGGTTATCTTTCAGACCTGCTCAGGAAGTGGAACATGTATGGAGAGGAAAACCTCCATTAATCACTTTGCTCTGACAAACAAAAGGGAATTCCTCCATAGTGGCTCACTGTTTGGGGAACGCTCCCGTCTCCAGTGCTGAGATGTCTGATAAACACCAGTTCCTCAGCCAGGCAGTCCTATTTATGGTTACAATATCAGCGGTCTGCACAATTCCTCAGAGCAAGCCTGCCTAATGTGAACAAACTGTTTGAACCTCTCTTCTACTCTTTGTGTCCTCAAAGGCCTCAAAAGAAAGTCAAGGACAGCGAGAAGGAGAAGAAGGACAAGACAGACAAAGGCTACTGTTTCTGGGACAGCGTTACGATGACGATGAGGCAAATCTCACCAGCCAAGAAACTGGAGAAGATGGAGGGCTGGGAGCCGCCACACTTGGAGAAATTACCTGAGACTGTAAACGATGAACCCCTTGTGGAGAACAGTCAGAAAGGAGAGTTTGCGGTGTCCCTCCCAGACGCCCTAAGCATTCCAGTGGAAATACCATCATGGGGTGGCCTGGGTTTTGAGGAGGACTCCTCTCGCTATGCCAACCTGACAGACTCCAATGATTCAGCAGCTGCAGTGAAGTGGACGTCTCGTGCCAAGGTCAAGCTGGCTGGCATCAGCAGGATGAGCCGAGGGATTGTGTCTGAGAGCGCATGGGGGGGCTTTAAATAGAAACATTTGACCCATCCTGACTACTACATTTTCTAAAATGATTGTGACTTTAAGCAAATATTTGCTTTTTTCTGTAGTGTAGCTTCGGAACAGTTAGGGGTGTCAAACTCAGTTAGCTAAAGGAGCCAAATTTACAAAACTTTGTCCGAGCCACGGTCCACTTTCAGCTGATACGTTAACTCGAGTCAGATACTCGATATCTTTTCTTGGTTGCAGGTTCATGAACAAGAGTTTGATCTGTCTCACTTGACGTTCTGTTGATCTTTCCACATCAAAATCAATAATGACAAAATGATCCAGCCGTCTTTCTGGCTTCAAAGTTGGCCAGCTGCCAAGAGAAGTCTGCTAAATGATGTATTTATCAGGTTTTTTTTAATAAAAAATTAGAAGAGAAACAATATTTTACATTTAAGTTATCGTCTTAGGGGACCAGATTTGACCCGTGACTTTTGAGTTTGACATATGTGATAGACTGTTTTGTGGTGTTCTGTTTACCTCAGAGGTTTGGACCTGGGATTAACATCACACACTAGTTTAACTGAATGGCATCATCACCCCAAAAAACAAATAAATAAATAAAATTAAATAAAAACAGTAGGGTTTGCCAACTGTTGTGGGCAGGCTAACCAATTATTAGCACACAAGCTAATGCCTGGCTCTATATTCTCAGCCTTTAAACACTGTAGCAACATCAAAGTTCATGCTCAATAATCCAGGTAAAAATTCCAACTACCGGTAAACTGAGTCAGGTCATCTGGACAATTTCTTTGTTTTTTTTATTGTTGTTGTTGAGATGTTTCATTCTTCACCCAAAGGACTTCATTAATCCAAGGAGCCACAACAAACTCAGTTCCCCAAGCAGCACACTCACATAGTCATTCAGGTCTCTCTTGTAAATGAGTCCCCGAGGCTCAGTGGGATTAACCTGTATCAGTAAAGGTTGAATGAATAGTGGGCCAACCAGTTTGCTGTGCCCTCTCCCCCCGTCGACTTCTCTGAGGCAGCCATAGCCAAAGGGGTTAAAAAAACAAGAAAATGTCTCAACAAAAAGAAACGGTCCAGATGACCTGACTGAACTTTGTTGGATTTTTTTATCTGGATTATTGAGCATGATGTTTTGAACCACTTTGGCTATGGCTGCCTCAGAGAAGTTGAAGAGGGAGAGCGCAGGCTCCAGAAACCATCTTATCTTATGGTTGGTCCACTATGCAAGTGTGCTGCTTGTGGGACTGAGTTTGGTTGTGGCTCCTCGGACTGATGAAGTCCTTTGGATGAAAGGTGGAACGTCTCAACAAATAAAGAAACCGTCCAGATGACTTAACTTTGTTGGACTGTAACAACATATTTCTTAAAAGAGGTTGTAATATTTTAAAAAATCAACATGCGTTTCATGTGCGAGGCAGCCTTATTGTACTTTAAGACTGGGTTTGGTCAGGGATTCATTACCTGATGGAAATCTGACTTTGGAGAGCATTCCAGTGGATTTTTCTGCCTTGGAGCTTGGACAGTCCTGACTTCTGGGTGTAAATGGAGCGCACCTTTAGACAAGAAATGGGAAAGTGCCTTAAAAGTCTATACCAGTGACCGCCACAAGGTGTTAACTTACAAACATCTTAGCCTCCCATTGATTTCCATTGAAAAATTGTCGCTTCTTCCAAAAATGATTAAAGTGAGTCAGTGATAATTCTCACAAGTCATTAAGTTATTATTAGTCACTTGTAAAACTTCAGAATGGCAGATTGTACACACAGTGGTTGGCATTATGGTGACCTCTTCCACCTTTTATGTACAATCGAAGGTTGATGCAAAGATGTTCATGAGATGCTGCAATAAACTTTCAAATATTATGCAAAAAGTTTTGGTTTAGATTTGAAGGAAATGTTTGTAAGTTAGGTGTTTTTTTTTTTTTTTTTTTTTTTTTTTAAAAGACTGGCATTTTTCTTGAACACAAACTAGTGAAAACTACTGTAACGTTTTTAATTATTTCCAAAGAGGAGAATTTAATGGCACTTTTTTTTTTTTAGAGGTTCAAAGAATGTGCAAAATTGCTACAGAAGACTTATGAAGCTTTTAGCCACTGCATTTCTGTCTATAAAGAAGCAGCACAGTGAAACAGTCTGAGGCCTTAGCTCGAATATCAGCGATGGGTGGTGCAATCAAGAAACGGCTCATGAAAAACCAGTTTGTGTGTCTAAATTGAAGAGAACACTGAGCAGTAGACCAGGGCTATTCAACTAAACCCCTGAGGGGGCCAGAGTTACTGAAAGCCAAGAGCTCAGGGGCCGGACATCCAGCAGTTATCGTCATTAAGTTTGTTTTATGGTTAAAAATCTAGTTTAATTTTCAAATGAAGCAATTAGTGGGCCGGACGGAGTTAATCCATGGGCCTGATTTGGCCCCCGGGCCGCCAGTTGAAAAGCCCTGTAGACGCATCACATGAGCAAACTGTTCAGTTTAATACAACAGATGCTGTGATACTTTGTCGTCGCTGGACATTACTTAGCTGTGTCTCAAATTCAATAATTACGGCATTAAAGCAAAACAAGTCAGAACCGTTGAATTAGATGCTGAATACAAATAAAAAAGTATACATTCGAGGAGCCAAATTGTATATTTATACTGGGTCATAAACAGTATCTCTTCCCTGCACCTGTGAAGTGCCTTGACTTGACAAAATAACCCCATCTGTTTGCTGTGAACGCCAACTCGACTGAACCGCCCTCGGCCCAGATCTGCGGACATCATTTCGTCGTAGCTGCAGGTATTCGATAAGCATCTGAGACTTTACATGAAAAACTTGCTGAGATTATTTGAAATGATCTATTCTCACATGCTGTGTTCAGTTCATATCTGAGTGACGAATCTGAATGGTTTCATTTCTCTGTTTTTGTATATTTTTAGATGAATAAAAATCATTAATCCTTTATTTTTCATCCGTTTATTGATTTTAATAGATTGTTTCCAAAGTGATTCCTGTATCCTGTGTTTATTCATTAAAAGTGCTGGGTCACATTTATTAAATAAAGATTTTATCTGATGTACTGGCCTGTTCTTTGGATTTTGAGTTTAAATCAAAACTTTGTTTGACATACACATGCAGGAGAAAATAAAGCCTGACACCTCCTGCAGGTAACGTTCAATGTCAGCTATTAAACTTAATGCCTGCCATCAAAAGATAGGAAATAATGTACAGTGTCTTACTACATGTTAGCAATTTTTTAATGTCTTGAAACAACATATTTTAATGAACATCATTGAACAATGTGATTAACTGAACATTCAAGATGACATCAACTTTAAAATAAATAGGACACATCAAATTTATAGAAACTGAGCTAACATTTGGTGTGGTAGTAGTTGAGTCATTCCCAACATATCTTATATGGGGTGCCGTTTGTAAAGTTGCACTGTCAAAAAAAATAACACCAATATGTTGGTTTATTTAGCCGTTCATAAAAAGTTTTTTTTTTCAGTCATATTTTCACCATGTTATTCATACATTTATAAATGTCATAGTTCCCAACTAAATATTTAATTAACAAGCTAAATATTTAGTTTATAAACTAAATATTTAACTTGCTAGTTATAAATATTTAGGTGTAAAAATGTTTTATTTATGAGCTAAGCATTTATTTTCAAACTAAATATTTAAGTTCCAAACTAAGCATTTAATTTCTAAGCTAAACATTTAATTTCCAAAATAAATATTTAATTTGCAAACTAAATATTTAACTCTGATCTAAATATTTAACTTGCAAGTAAAAAAATCAAATCAGAGTTAAATATTTAGGTAGCAAATAAAATGTTCAGTTTGGAAATTAAATATTTAGCTTGCACAATAAATATTTAGTTTGGAGATTAAATGTTTGGATTTGAAAATAAATATTTAGCTTGGAAATTAAATATTTAATTTACAACTAAATATTTAGTGTACAAACTAAATATTGAACTTGCAAGTATTTAGTTTGTAAATTAAACATTTAGTTGGGAAATATGACATTTATAAATGTATGAATAACATGATGAAAATATGACTTTGAAAAAAAAGCTCTTTTTTTCTTATTAAAGGCTAATTATATATATATATATATATATATATATATATATACTTAAAGTTAGTTACTTTTTGACCGTGTAACTTTACAAACAGCACACCATAATGTTAAGCACTTAATAAACCACGACATCTCATAAAATCCTAAAACCACAATTTTTCAAGAAAACATTGTCTGAGTTTAAAACTGGCATGGAAGGCACTGGGGAGTTGCTTCAAGAAAAGCTGCATTTATTTATAGAACTGAAACTTTAGGGAAATATATCTACCACAAATTATAAATCTAAATATTTATCAGGTTACTTTTACCTCATATTTTTACTTTGTGTTTCACAAAGTTCATTTTATAGGAACATTGCTGATCATGAAACTCATACGGTTTTTTTGTGTAAAATGTTTGCATCGATGAATTCAAATGACAAAAGTGATACAATAATAAAACTGCAAACAGAAAGATTAATCAAGGAAATTGTTTCTTAGAATATTTATTTTATAGCTTGTCTCTTACCCAATAAAAGTCATAATAGTACCATTACGAGCATGAACCAGTAAACGATATTACAAAAGTTGGAAGAGGATTACAAAAGATTTTCTGAAATTTACATTTCCTTCTAGTTACTTTACACTTCTGACAAAAGTAGAAAAACTTGTTCAGCTAATAGAGCTTAATGCTAATTCTTTTTAGTTTCGACACATTTGACGTACACAAGAACACAGCAGGAACTAACAAAAGACAACAAGAAGTTTGTAAACAGAGAAAAACACGACAAACAGAAAAACGCCACCAAAACGATTCATAATCGAGTTTAACTTTATCAAATAAATATTTTACAAACTCCCATCTTTTTGAGTTAATCGTTAATCTTTAAAACTTTTTTACATCCAACCAACTACTGATCATTTCTCATGAACATGCAGAACATGTTTTATACATTAAATCCTTTCAATATATTTATATTGCACACTGGTGAAGAAGAGAGTCCAGGCAGGATGGAGTGCATGGAGAAAAGCTTCAGGAGGGATTTGCGACAAAAAAAAATGGCAGCAAAAGGCAAAGAAAAAATTTACAAGACAGTTGTGAGACCAGCTATGTTGTTTGGTCTGGAGACAGAGACGTGGACAAAAAGACAGGAGAAAGAACTGGAAGTGGCAGAAATGAAGATGTTGAGCTTCTCCTTAGGAGTGACAATGATGGATAAGATTAGGAACGAGATCATCAGAGGGACAGCACAGTTTGAACATCTGGGAGATAAAGTTAGAGACCAGACTGAGATGGTTTGGACATGTCCAGAGGGACAGTGGGTATACTGGTAGAAGGATGTTAGAAATGCAGCTACCAGGAAAAAGATAGAGATGTATGGATGGAGTTAGAGAGGACGTGGAGGTAGCTGGAGTGAGGACAGAGTGAGATGGAGGAGGATGACTCGCTGTGACAGGGAAGAGCCAAAAGAAGAAGCATACTTACATATTCCCTTTCAAAGGAGCAGCTTTTTTTTCTGTCTCCAAGACACATATTAGTGCAGAAAAAACAAAATTCTTTTTAGATTCACCAACACTTTGTTTTATAGGACTTCTTGTGCACTGACAAAAACAAAACGTAAACATTTTGTCCAACTGGAGCCCTTTGTATTTGAGCAGACAACAACAAGGTTCTGTCCACAGGCTCGGCGTGGGATTGGGAGTTAATGGACTTTTCGCTTCGAGACCATCGCGGGGTAGTTTAAAATTTGAAGAGGTCGATAAAGTGCTGCGGAGAAATGGGCATCAGGCAGCTGTCCGGATCATTGGCTGTGCAGGGGTGGCCAAAGTCCTGAAAGAAAAATTAACATGAAAATAGTTAGAAATGGAACCAAAAGACGTCAACAAATAGAGACGACTAATGCAAAACAGTTTATTAAAAAAAACAAAGAAGAAATTTACAAAGGAATTAAGATGTTCCGATGCTCATAGGAAGAAAAAAAAAAAACTGCTAATCTGTAGTTTGACTCCATAAACCAGCTCTTTAGCAGTCACAATGCTGCTAACTTTAGAGGCCAAACTGGTAACAGTTCATTTTTTTACTGGTGTGAGAAAAGAGCTCTCATGGGCTTCAGGTTCAGTTTATTACACAGAAAAGAGGAACCATAAGAAACATTCTGCAAAACACAGAAAAGGGAAATAAAACAAATTTTCTACATTTTTCACAGTTCAACAACCTGCAACAAGTAAAAAAAGTCATCAGCACAGATTAGTTAGACTTTACAATAAATAAATATCAAAGGGTATATGGACAGAAAATTAAAGCAATATTGGCCTGTTTTTAAATGTGAACAGAAGCTGAAGGTTTTAGGCCACTAAATCAATCAATTAATGCTTATAAATAAAATAAGTTCAAACTGTCAATAATGATCTATTTTTTCTCTCGTCTGTCCTTGTGATGTTGGTCTTTTCACCGTGACACAGTTATGTTTTATTGCCAGATGTGTGTAGGGTCTGATTGTGAAGAAAAGGTGGATATTTGTTGTTTGAGTTGGCAGCTCTGGTAGGAATTAATCCAGCTGTGTTAGCGCAAAACAAAACATTTAACAGTTCTTTGTATGTTTTGTACCATTATATTTACATCTGTACTGAGATTTAAAAGTTAGCTAGCTGGTTGAATATACTCTTTGTCTCTGCAACTAACCAGCATCAATGAAACTGTTCTCTGATTTAATGAAACACATTTTATAATGATTTACATACAGACGGAAACATTTGTGTTAGAGACAGTTTTTATTGACAGAGATCTAACAGAAATATTATGTGCCATGTGAAAACAACACCGCCGTTTACTAAACACTTGTGACAAAACGTGATGACGTCAAGTGAAATCTGAACAACGCACAAGTCATCAGTTCAACAGAGGATAGAACGACGGGTGAATAAAAGAAGGAACACAAAGTACCTTGAATAAAAAAGCCACACGGCGATCCTTAAGGAATCAGTGAGAAGGAAACCAGGAAGGAGGAGGCAGGAAGGGAGACAAGCAAGGGAGAGGATGCAGCATTAAACATGAGGGGAACCAGCCAGGGAGGAACTGAGAGTACAGGATCAGTTTTTACTGCTAATCCTAAACACATTCACCGTAACATTTCATTTACATTGAAACGGGTTCAAGACCAGATCAATAAATCGCAGCGAACAAACAGGACATTTATACCTTTGAGCACGAGCTCACAAAATCCACTGGATTACAGCGATTAGTGCAACTGGCAGTGCTCACGTGTGCTCATTTCAATGAGTGCCTGGAAATTTACTGGAACAAAAGGGTAATACACATTTCCTTTCACTACAAGAGGTTAAATATTTACCAAGATATCACTTCAATTATAATTTAGACTATTTTTGTGAGGGCAATCTAAAGGAAAACATGTAATCTGGGAGAAACTTTACACAGAAACTGTGCACGCTAAGCTGTAGTGTTTTTAAAGCTCTGTCCCGCTCTGAAAGGCAACCAAACAAGTTCAACTAAAGTTTTCACTAAAATTACCACCTACCTTTTAGGGATGCACAATATTATCGGCATGGTATCAGCCGATATTGGCGATAAAATTAAATATCGGACATCGGCCATTCCATCAAAATAACTCACCGATATAAAAGGCTCTGTTTTTTTTAAATCTGTATTATATATTTATATAGTGTGACATCATTTTCAGCTCCCCTTTTGGCATCTGCATTTGGTAGCAGGTCAAATGGACAAAGACCATGCACAATAATGTAGTATTTTAATTCCACAGCAGAGAAGGCTGTGTAGTCTCTGTAAGTAGGTCTAGGGAAAAATATTGGCATTGGTTATCGGCCAAATAAATTTAAACATATCGGCATATCGGACATTGGCCAAAAATTCAACATTGTGCATCCCTACTACCCTTTAGTGTCGCGTCAATGTAATGAGCCACTTATACGTCACATGCATTAAGTTTATTTTTACATGTAACAGCCCACTAATGACAAAAACAGGTGTCAAAATTGGTCAGGCATGTGTGTATGAAGATTTAAGCCAGTTCAGGTTAAATCAGGTTCACATTACAATATTTTCAGTCTGTTTTTCAAGTAACACAAATATTTGTGGTCACAGAGACTTTGCCCAAATTGAGACAATCGGCAACTTCCAACAAAAACTATGTGATTTGTGCTGCTTCACCACACGTCCCAAACTTCAACAATCTGCTTGACATTTAGAAGAAATTGTTGAGTGAGACATCAACAAGCGCTACATCCCAAAAATGCGTGCAGGAAAAATAAGGATTAGTGCGATAGAGAGGAATAAAACAATAAAACAACAAGCAAGATGGAAGACGGGGTGAAGAGCATCAGCTTGGGTTGAGGAATCTATGTAAGATGTGCAATATTCAAAAGAAATGTAAAGGTAACAATACAACCTGTGCCCTCATTTACCCATTCATACAGCACTCTACTAGATCTCTATAAGTTAATCTGAATCTGTAGAGACTAATCAGAGCTTTACATCACATTCATACACTGATGGGACACACATCGGAGGTAATGAGGGGTTCTGTGTCTTGCCCAGGGACACTTCAACATGTGACTGCTGGTGGAATCAAACCCCCAGCTCTCCCATTGGAGGACGGCTGCACTAACCACTCAGCCACAGCTGCCCCAAAAAGAAAATAATAAAAAATTACATTTAAAAAAAGGAGCTACTTTAGACTTGAGAAAAGGAGAGAGACATGTCTGCATCACCAACAATGGTTTTAAAAACCATGTTCACAAGTGTAAACCTGGCTCAGGCCCGTTTCCATATTCTTAAGTGTAAATAAAAAAAACAATCACTTTGGATTAAACAAAGTTTAAATTCTGTGTATAGTAATTTGATGTCTGTCACATTTCAGATGTTGGAACAGGAAACATCAAGGACAAACAAAGTTCTGAACGTTTAGAAAAAAACACAAATCACAAAAAATTATAAAGGTTAAATGTCTACATAAGAGTATTATTATGACAAACTGGGGAAGTTTCGTTTTTTTGATGGGATGTGGAGAAATGAGGAAAGTTAGATTTCCTTGTGAAAAAATAAATTGAGTTTCTTGTAAAAAGTGGTAAACGTTAAAAAAATTAAATGGTCAAAAATATTCTCTATGTGTGTAAAACAGTTCTAATTTAAAACATTGAAGAGCTGGAAGAGGTGGCTGCGGAAAGAGATGTCTGGACCTCCCTGCTCAAGCTGCTGCCCCCGCGACCCGACCTGGGAACAAGCTAATGGATGGACATTTTAGATGATTTTTTAGAAGTTCATGACGCACGTTCAAAACCAGGGCTAAATCTTTTTCTCATTCGACCTGCAGAGCGTTTGTGACGCTGATGCTGAAGACTTTAACAACTTTAATGTTTGTTAAAACCCGTCACATGAGGTGTGTTAATGTGGTTGCAGCAGTTTACCTCATTCACCTTCCAGAAGAGGATGCTACAGTGTTTGCAAAAGTGCAACGTGTCGCCGTACTGCTCCTTCATGGGGTAGTGCTTCTGCAGGGTGAAATACATCAGCTTCCAGTCCACGTTGTCGTTCTTCGCCAGAACCAGATTCCTACAGAACTGGAAATGTATGAAAGGGGCACATAAGAAAAAAAACATAAAACAATCGGCTAAATCACAGGAGACAGAATTATATTTAAAATTGGAGCGAAGTGTAATTAGAAGCTCATCATTAACACCATTCTGGGAGCTCACATGTAAGTTTGTGTGTTTGAGGAAAAGAAATCATTAAAAGCTGGGTGTATAATGGTACAACTCTGCCCTCTAGTGGTCAATATGAACCTTTCAAGAATAAACCATTTAGATAACTAAAGCAAGTAAAAATGAAAGCCGACTTCAGCTTGGAGAATAAAACTTGTCACTTTCTCACCGGTTTGTCTGAGAAGTGAAAGTGGCAGAGTTTCTTCCACAGCGTCCTGTGCTCACTGAGGATGTGCAGCGTAGGCGTGGCCTGTCCCAGGTTTATGATGTCACAGGCGTCAGATAACTTGCCGAGGATTTTGTCCTGCATGTGTAGTGGCAAGTCATTGAACGACATGCCGGTGTACATTTGCTGAGAAAACAACAAATTTATTTTATTAGTTGCAATAAATTGAGCACAAATACTGTTTTATTAAACAAGGCTGATGTGGAATCAATTATCTTTTACTTTATGTTTAACTTCAAAGTGGGAGCAAAATGTTGAGCTGATTAGGCATTAGACCGCAAAAAAGGCCACAACACCTTCTTGGTTTTGGAAGCACCTACTGGCATACAATAAATCCTATTTGCACCTGGACGTGTTCAAAAGTATAAATAAATAAATAAATAAAATCACAGCACATTGGTCTGCTTTTTACCTTGGGGATCTGCATGTTGTTGAGCTCCTGCTGCCATTTAACAATAGTCTCTAAGCGGCACAGCCAGATGTTCACATTGCCCACAAGAACACATCTGCCAACATGGATGGTCAGACTGTGGAGAGTGGCGCTTAAGTCCTGCAGAAGCTCCTTAACGAGACGTGGATTGTACTGGTCCTCTAAGACTGGAGACCGGATTTAAAAAGAAAATCAGAAGCACGAGGAAACATAACTTATGAGTCAGTAGGTTTGGTCTACGTAAATGTCAGGTCTTCTTACCTTTTCGAACGATCTTCTCCAGAATATTAAAATAGTTCTTCTGGGCAGCTCCGCTTAAAGATGTCAGCTGGGACCTGGCAATTAGCTGAAAAAGCTGTGGATTAGGGAGAAAACCAGAAAGTAAGAAGCAAAGGTAACTGTACAGACCATATAATTAAACAAAGAAGGTGTGATCATTAATACTCACCTTTGCAACGTAGTTAAATCTTCTCAAGTCTTGAATGGCACTGGAAAAGTCCAGTCGGTTGAGAGCTTCTCCGAGTGTGCAGTATCCATGTCGCTGTCAGAACAAAAGAAAATGTGCACAAATAGTGAGATCAGTCATTAACAGGTTAAAATAAACCCTGGTGGTTCACAAGGAACTGTTCAGTACTCACTTCTTTAGTGCTCCCTTTCTGAACGTAGATCCATTTATCTGTGAAAACAACTAAAAAAAAAAAGAAAACTTTGTAAAGTTTGATATGAAAGGAACAATATACTATATGAGCTAGACATTGCTTCGACCTTTGTACACCTTGACACTTGCGCATCAAAAATCCAGAGTGTTCAGTTTTTATGTATGAAAATGGAGACGAGAATCATTTCAAAAGTTACATTTTCAACACAACTTTTGCCAAAGCCCAGATCCTGTGTCAATCAGTTTTACATTTCTCTACACGTGTATTTCAATTTTCATACTTTTTTTACTAAACCCAAATATCAGTGAGGTACTGTAGAAACTCACACTGGGATTTGGCGTTATTGTTGAAGAAGTCCTTTTTCCTCTTGGTGCTGACCAGTTCTCGTACCTCTCCGACAAACAGATCTTCATTGTTGTCACTGCAAAATCTGATCACAAAGAAATTATTTTTTTAACGACTTAATAAAAGTGTTTTTCCAGAAAACTGTAGTACAACTCTATGAGTCTGCCTCCTGACAGATCTCATTTAACTTTTTACTTATCATGTCATAGTTTAAAAAAAAAAAGAAGTTCAGCAAATTGCATATATAGATAATTCTAACTGTTATAACAGTAACGGACTCTCCAGGCAATAATAGTCCACTGGCTGAAGCTAAGACCCAGTACCTGATGCAACCTTGCCATCTTGCAGACATTTGTGTCCAGTTGACTGGCGTTACCCTCAGACTGTGTTGTTGGTATTAACACAGAACAATAACACACTCTTTACATCATATTTGACACGTAGATGGGTAAAAGTAAGATTGATTGTGTGCAACTTTTTTGGTATAAAGTTTATTTTAGACCTACAGCTTACACTATGGTTTGATTTACAGTGGGGTTTTTTTTTTCATAAATAAATTTATGAAAAAAAATCCTGGTGCTGAAATATTTCATGTTACTCGTCAGTAATCAGTGTTGTAGCTACTGATTCAGGGGATTCAGGTATGGACTCTGCTTTGGTTGCATGTTTCAGATCGTTGACATGTTGGGAGATAATCTGCTGAAAAGCTTTTGATCTCGAGAACACTGAACCTTCCAACAAACATTCTGAAACAGACACCTAATAGAAGAATTAATGTAAATGCTGAAGAAGCATAGCCAGGTCCAAGTTCAGCCCACATTCTGTAGAAGATTAAAAGCACATGGTTCTCCATTTCCTCATGTGAAAGTTCATTATTTTGTCTTAACTGCAATTAGTAAGTAATTATTTAAAGTTCTCTTTGTTTCTTCACTGCACAATAAACAAATGTTTATATAAATTTTCAGACTGTAAGAAAACGTCCAAATCTATAAACCATTCCTGCAAATGTGGATTTCTACTCCAAGGTTCCTTACAAAACGTAAAAGGACAATTCCTGTCTTCTTCATTCAAAAGAGGAATCCTTGAAATGATTAAAAAAAATACTTTTTGTAGGACTGCAGTTGCAACTGAACTGAGGGACAAGTTTCTTTTTTCAACAAACATAAAAACATCAAACAATTTTTAGTCAGGTCATCACGCAACCACCGAGCTACCACAGCCCTCTGTGTGGAGCAGAGAGCTGCCATCTAGGACACCTGGAGGAGCAGATGGTGGGGGTTAAGGGCCTTGCTCAGGGGCCCAGAGTGGGACGAATGAGGGTGGGGGTTCTTCACCTACCCCACCCACATTTTTGATCTTCCGATCACAGGTCCACCTTCTCTAACCTCTGCGCCACCATTCCCCCTTATACAGATTCAATATACAGAGTGAAATATTTCAAGTCTTTATTTCTTGTCATTTTGATAATTATGTCTTACAGATAATAAGAAAAAAATAGAATATTCCACAGTCAGATTTTGGTACCTTTGTCAGTGTGGGCAGGAGCCAAGTCCTGCTGGAACTTAAAATCAGCATCTCCATGAAGCTCGTCAGCAGAAGGAAGCGTGAAGTCTCTAAAATGTCCTGGTAGATGCTGTGTTGACTGGACTTCAAAAACAAAGTGGACCAACACCAGCAGAGGACATGGACCCAAACCATCACTGACTGTGGAAGCTTCATACTGAACTTCAAGCAACGTGGATTCTGGGCCTCTCCTCTCTTCCTCCAGACTCTGGGACCTTGATTTCTAAATGACATGAAAATTTACTTTCACCTGAAAAAGAGGACATTGGACCACTGAGCAACAGTCCAGTTTTTTTGTCTCCCCAGCAGGTAAGACACTTCTAATGTCTCTGGTTCAGGAGTGGCTGGACTTGAGGAGGGAGACTTTTGTAGCTCATGTCTAGGAGTTAATCAGCTGATTAAGGTGTGACACCAAGAGTTTACAATACTGAACCTCTTCACCATAATCTAATTCTCAGAGACACTGAATTTTGGTTTTTCATTATCTGTAAGCAGACTTGTGACCTGTCCAGGGTGTACCCCACCTCTCTCACAGTGACAGCTGGACATGGACACCAGTGACCCCCGCGACCCCAAAAGGAAGAAGCGGGTAAAGATGGTGATGGATGGATGGATGATCTGTAAGCCATAATCATCAAAATTACCAGAACTATTTTACTCTATGTGTAATGAATCTATGTAATATATATTTCTGAAATAACTTGACAAAAAAAATAGAACTTTTTCACAATATTATAATTTTTCAGATGCACCTGTATTTTTCCTTATGCTTTAAAATAATGTTTTCTAACAGATATGTGTTCTGAAATAATTTTTTGGTTTATAATCCTTAAAATTTCCTCTGAAACGGACCTTTTCTCTTTGCAAGCCGTTTCAGTGCTGAGAAATCCCTTCGTATAATGACTGGCATCATTGTGAAGCTTTGGGATTCCTCTTTTTAAATATATGGCTGGAGTTCCTGATGACATCACTCCAGACCAATAAAAATCAAGCTTTTAAACAAGCACTCTCACAATCCAACCTAAGGAACATTGCACACTGCTGTTTTATGAAGTCACTGATCTTTGAGTGAGATTGTGTTTTAAAAGCAGCCATTTTGAAGAGTGATGTCATGAGTTACTGTCTGAAGCCATCTCTTTTGCCCGTCTGTTGAAACTGCTGACAGAATCACACGAAGCTGTTAGTTGGCCAATCGATACAAAAAGCGATAACAGTAACGGGGGAGATATCACCAGTTGCTGCAGGGGTTCCAGTGAGTCTCGCTCACCAGTCAGCAACTAATAAATCAACAGCTCTGCTCTCTGTGAGCTAAACAATGAAACGGTTTGTTGCTGTCACTTTGCATCCATCTAAGTTAAACTGTCTTATTGTCCTTAATAATCAACAAAACGGTTACATTAGAGCTGTCTGATACGTTTATGGAAATATTTAGTTCCATACTAATCACCTATTAGGCTTGAGTTGACTTCTGACTTGACTTTGGAGAAAGCCATTAAAAATGAGTTGCTGATAATATTCAATGGCACATTTCGGTCAATAAAATGTTCTTGTAACAAGCCGTCTTATTTGAGAATTTAAAAATGCCAAATAAGTAAATAATACAGAACTTCTGCAAAAAAAATTTTGATACAATCCACCACAATCCTCAAAATGTGTAATATATGGATAGGTGAAACGATCAAACAAAAAACAGATGATAGTGGGGGGGGGGGGGGGGGGGGGGGCTTCCCCTTTTATCTGCCTTGTTCCAGCCAGACATTTCCAGATAGGATATTTGTGAAGCAATAAATGTTTCCTGCTGATAACAAAGTGAGCTCCACTACTGAAGGCAACGCAGAACGCTAACTTTGATGAGGTACAACATGTTCCTTTTGGATCGGCTGCGCTTTAAGAGTCCGTAGTAATTATAGTGCAGTGAAGCCGATAAACACCAGGGGAAAGAATGCTCTTTAAAATCACACAAAAGGCACTGACTAAAATTTAAAGGTATTAATGTTACAGTTGGCAAAATCTCTGGAATGCTACTTTACTGTAACACCTTTACTGTGTTTAAACTTCATTACACCAATCAATCTTAACTTTGACCGAACATTTTTCTAGTACCAAGCAACCTTAATTTTAGTAAACACATGAGCAGTTAGTGTTTACAATTGTTACACAATATAGACTGTATTTAGGGTGCATATTTGTATAACTGACAAATGATAGTTAACTCGTGTTTTTTACTGTGAAAACAACTGATTCAAATCTCAAACTCTGATCTGCTGAATGAAATAAAAATAAAGAGCAATTAGACAACAAAGGAAATCTTTCAGTAGTTTTACAAGAAGTGATTATGTAAGAAGGTCAAGTTTACACACTTTAATTAGAAACCATTTTAATTGTTACATCTTCTCATTGCTTATTTGCGCAAACAAAAATAATCACATTCTGAAAGCTACATGTCAATATGCGTGACGCGTGCTGGAAGGTGGTCAGAATGAGCACAGGCTGTAGTGCAAAAACGTGAAAATACAATTTTTGATGTTAGTGAGGTTTCCATAAAAATAAGTTCATAAAGACATCTGGTGATCCTAGTAACTTGAATGGCATAAAATCTTCATAATCCAGATTAAACACTGTAACACTGGGATATCCTTTTCCTTCTGAAAATAGAACTGGTCACTCCGGACCAAAAAAAACAACAACAAAAAAACAATCGAGTTTTCAAACCAGCACTCCCGTAAAAATTAACTAGCTTGATGTCAGGCCAGGTAATAAATCGCCATATTTCATTAAACTACAAATCATTTTACAGCATTTAAGATGGAGAATTTGAAAATATTACTTAAAAATGGAAAAAACTCCTCTTTGTGACTCTTTTTGCCAGCACGGGTCACATATATGCCTCATTTATTTTAGATTTTTTTTGTTCTAATGAGATGCATTAACGATTTGAGTTCCAACTCTCTGTCCTCAACTCTGTCTGTTGCCATGACGACTCTCTAACACCCCCACCCCCCAACACAGTCCGACTGCAGGGTACAGATCACCTCATGAAAGTCTGTCAGACCTGGCCCTGGTAAGAACTGTCTGTAAGAGTTTTTCTGACAAGAAGTACCTGCAGGTCTGTCAGTGTAGTTCAGTCTCTTAGACATGTCTGTCACTTGAACACATCATCTGTTGATTTAAACTCTTCCCCTGAGGGACGTTTAGTTTGTACTCAGGCTGGATCAGATACAGCTGTGGCTCAAAAAAGGCATTGATAATAGCAAACTACAACAAACTTTTATTTGTATTAAAGATAAGCCACAGTTACAAACGTCTCGAATTCCATCCCGTAAACATTTTCTGCTGGACGTGTATGCGCTCGTTCAAAAAAAAGATTATGTTTTGAGTTTATTTATCTGACTAAAACATGGCAGAAGTTCTGAAAATAGACATTTTAACTGATACGAAGTGGTAGAGTTGGTCAGGAGAAAGGAAGAGAGATTTTTCTAACGAGGATAAAGCAAACGATGACACGTCTGTGGACTCACAAATTCAAATTTCTGAATGATTTGTGAAACACACACTGCAGAACTTCACTAACTTCACTACAGGCCCTTTTATTGTATTATTATTTATTTATTGTGCTAGGTGACATTTTGTTTTTATCGAACATCGTTCAGGTTTGTAAATACATGAAGTTTTGGTGAAGAAGTCCTGCGGTGTGCAAGTCAGGTTTTATTTTTGTCACGTTTATTTACACTGTGGCTGGACACTTGCAATTTTAAACAGGATGTGTGTTTTTTGTTCTAGTTTATACATTTCAAAATAATGAAGATCGAGAAATAGAACTAATACTAATGACTTATAAACATTGCAACGCAAGTATGTTTCAAGCAATTTGTGGCAAGTTATTGCCAAACTATTTAATATACAGTCGTCCTTCGCTCTATTGCGGTTCAGTTTCAGTTCTTGCGGCTTCAAAGCATTGCAGATAAAAAAAAAAAGTATATATATATAAATAAAATATTATATTATATATATTATATTTAACTCCACTACTTTGCGGATTTTCACCTAGCGCGGAGGTCTTTGGAACGTAACCCACGTAGGTGAGGGATCACCTTATTGTTTTTTTGTTTGTTTTTATTAGTGCATTTGAAGCTATAATTTGTGTTCCCATCCAGGAATCCCTGCTATGAACTTATGAATGCATTCATAAGAACTTTGACGCTTATAAACTACTATAATAAGACTGACATCAATAGTTTTTTCTGTTCAACAAGGCTCAGATGTGGAAAACTCAAAATGATTGTGTGCTTTTATTGCATTTTACTCTGAATATTGTTTTAAAACACAGTTTAATATCAAATAATTAAAATTACATCAAAAAGTTGCTTCATCCCTGTATTGGAATGCCGTGTAATTTGAAGGTATAATGTACTTCTAACACTGTAGTGAGAGAATGTCAGTAAAAATTGTTGGAAAAATACTCATTTTAAACGGTATGTGTACAGAAATCCTGAGATGTTTATAAAGATTTCTGTGCAGACAAGTAATTCTTATCAAATCTGGATAAATCACCGCCTAATCAAAAGGTGTAATGTTTAACAAAAACGTCAATAAATGGAAATCAACAATCTGCAACAAACAACCCATGATCTTACTCGTTCAGGTCTATCTCTTTGTTGCTGTCCTCCAACTCATGTCCAAAGAAAACAAGCCTCTTCCAGCCGTGCTCCGTCTTTGTCCACCTCCATCCAGGCGACCTCCAGTCTTTGCCTAAGAAAGGCATAACTGAAGAGGGGAGGACGGGAAGCAGAGGTCTGCTGCCGCTTCAAACACCTACAGGATCAAACAGTAACAGGACTAATAAAGTACAGAAAAATAAGACTCATAAATACTCAACACCTCTCTATTTGAAAATAGGCATTGTGGTTTATAAAGTATTCAGAAATATTACTACAGCTGTTATGTCTGAATTGAAAACACCATACTAAAATTTAGTGTGTGTTACTTTAGTGAGGGGTAATCATTTATTAATTCACATTTGATTCAGAGAATCATTTTATCAGGATTTTTTTGTAAACAAACCAAAAACTATGAAATGTAAACTTTTTCAAATGATGCTAATATACTTCTGGCAAACTAAAACACTAGATAAAACAAAAACGATAGTTTCAAGAGTTACTTTTTAAAATAAATACATCAAAGCTGTAAAACCACATGCATTTGAAATAGTTTATTTTAGCACTTATGAGCTATGGGCCTATCTCCACTTTAAAAGCCACAAGTTAACGATTTAGCTAGTAAGAAATAGACATTTTGTTTGTGATTCTTCAACACATTTTTTTACATTTATAGCATATTTACGAGGTTTTGAACAAAAGTGTTAGTTAAAAAATAAATAAATACGGTGACGCAGTTCTCGAAGTTGAGCTTTTTTTACTCAGTAAAAAAAAAAATGGTGCCCACGACGTCGACGTTTTAACGGAACTAAACCGTTGTCAGTCTGCTAAATGCGCTTTATCTGGTCAGAAACAAAAGAGACAATTTGAACCTTTCTATCACCAGCTGGGCTCTTTAAAGAAAAAAGAAAGACATAAACAAACCTTGGCAGTCAAACAGCTTATTTGCGCCTCCGTTTGCTTCTTCCTGCAGTGGTGGAAATATTGACGGAAGTAAATACATTGTGGAAAACTGAGTTAGCACCCGCCCACTTGCTGCTCTCTGATTGGCTAATATTTCAGTATTTACGATGTTGCTACCCAAAATCGCGCCGCTGATTGGACACCACAACTGTCATTTATTCTTTTTTTTTTTAATCGTTTGTTTTGTTGGGGCTTTCTTCTGCACGTGATCGAACATTGCGCACATGTACTTGTGTTTTTATTTTGAAGATGGGGAATGGGAGCGGGATTACTGTACAGCCGAGTGAGTGATGTGGCTTTGCAATACCTTTATACGTTTTAAGACCTAAACTGCCTTATTATCCATCATCTAATCATTGTATAAAATTGCTCTGATGCCTGGTCAGTTATTCTGAATTGTTTTCTATAAACTATATAAATTGATTATATAAAGTATATGAGTATATAGGTTGAATGAATAAATATAATTTGAACACACATTTGCCTTCTCAAGCACAATAATTGTAATCAAGTGGCAAATAATGAAAGCTCAAGTCTAAATTGTTTTAAACTTTTTCTTTAAAGTTTATTTTTCTGACTCTTGTGTAAAATGTTTTCAGCCTGGTGGGGCTAATGTCTCCTCAGGGATGTGTTTATTTTAAAACCAATGGCAGAAATCAGTTTTGTGGTTGGACACTGCCCCCCAAGGCTTCACTGAATATGTTTAAGTTGCATGTTGCACTTTATCCAAGAAAAGTTTTAACTCAAATGAAACATTTCATATTTCAGTTTTATGGTAACTCAAAAAGAAAAGTTAAGTTCAAAAAGAAAAAGAAAAGAAAAGTTTTAACTCAAATGAAACATTTCATAATTCTCTTATGAATGCATACTACCCACCTACCTTCAATGCCAAAATTTTAAATTTCAATTAAATCTGTCCAGTATTTCAAAAGATACTTTGCCAAGAAACGAATAGAGTTGATTGTAAGTCGTTATGCAAAGGTTTTAAATATTTTGTGCCATCTATTAGTGTTAGGAAAATGTATACTGTATAGGATAACTCATCAAATTTGAGTTTATCGATTGTAAAAATGGCTGAGTAGTCAATTTATGTGTTTGCTAACTAAGGTTGATTAGATGTGGTGGCCATCTTCAAATTCAAATCCAATGTTAAGCTTCGAAAATTTTCATAAAACTTGTTCAGTGGTTAAATGAGATATTTTGCAAATACCCCCCCCCCCCCCCCACACACACACACACATACACACACACACAGTTACATAATCACACACTTTTTATGGCAGCAGGTGAAAATAATTGCATAATTATACTCATTTATTGATTACGTTCGAATGCAGTTGTTAAAAATGTTGCTTATCCATCTTTTGTAAATGGTTAGCAATCACTTTTACGTATACAAGACAAAACAAGGCAACATGTTCTGTTGGGACAATTGGTACAATGTGTTACTAAGTGGTACAAGACCATGAAAACCACATTTACTTTAAAGTGATTAATGACTTAATTTGTGCACTCCAGAGTCAGCAGCAGAAAACTTAACACACTGAGCCCAATCAGGAAATGAGCAACGTTGAATTAATTGTATGGTAAAGTTGCCTGTAAGTTTAATTGTTGATCCTAATACAACTTTATATGTTGCGAAGGTGGAGTGATAATGTTTTTGCTCGTGTCAATGCGTATAAGTTTGCCTGTAATATTAGTAAAATATCTCATAAACCAGAGGAAGATTTTAATAAAACGATCAGAATGTAGTCACTAAACATTTATAACACTCTAAAAAGAGTATTTGGCTGTAGTTCATCTTAGGGACTTATTTACATTAATCTCACTTAATTATTTTGGTTTAGTGAAGACAACTTACTTTTATGGGTTCAATTTACTTAAAAGTCACATTTTATCTGAAATGAACTTTTTACTTTGAGTCCAAGTGAAACAATTAAGTTTAATGCAGGTTTAGAACGTCTGACGTCATGACAAACTTCACCCGAGACAGATCCCACTGTATCTGTTTGGAGTCCATGATGTCAAAAGCAAAAAACAGAAAGAACTATGCATCATAATTTTGATAAAACTCTTAGAGAAATACCACATTCACAAATCAAAGTTTAGTCACTCTATTCTCTCTCTTCAGGCCTTTTAGAAGCAGTCTGAACATTGTACACGTTTCTGACTAATAACAAGAAAGCTATAAAACATTTGATTTGTGCACCTTATTTAATGTGTTTATTTAATGTGTTCATTTGAATAATCCCCCTGGCTTTTGTTTTTGTTTGAATGTATATTGATAATGCTCATTGTAATGCTTTACCTTAAAAGATTTTCATAAAAAAAAAAAATGCCACTGTACCGACCGCTTGTTCAATTGCCATTTCTTCTGAGCATCAACTATCGACAAGATTCAGATTACAGTAGTCCCTCGCTACTTAATCTATATAAATACATACACTAAAATAAACTACTACTTACCGGTTGTACTACTATTCCTACGTCGCAGTTTTTCCACTTATCGCGGGGGTGGGGGTGGGTGGGAGCTGAGGTCAGAAACCGATACAATAAACAATGGACTACTGTAAACAGTAAGTGAACTACAATGTCTTTGATTTTTACAGTGAAAAGTTTCATGTTGGTAAGAATGATTCAATACCTAAGAGTTAATTTTCTTTTATTTAATGGCTCCCTGAATATATAAGCCTAAGCAAGTACCACTAGTATTTATTAGATGGTGTAAAAAAGTAAATATTATTTCTACCTTAAATTTGAAACATTTATTTACTGTGGTTTAGGCTGAAGTAACGTCACTTATTTGCTCTTGACAAGAACCGGGTTTGGATCAGAAAAACACCAAGACCAAGAGTGGTTTAACAGTTTTTTTGTGAATGGGAAATATTTTGGTGGATGTCTGTGTCCTGGGCCGGGTCCAATCTGTCAAGACAGAAGAGTTATGATGCAGGTGTTGGGGGTGTCTGTGGGTCATCCCCCAGAAAGTTTTGAATAAAATAGATGCCATTTCCTGCATTTTGGTGTATTTTAACAGGTTGTTAAACATCTACGTTTATTTAACACTTGATTCAATAACTATTTTAGAGAGCAACAACATTTCTCTCCTTCTGTGTGAATGTGTGTTCGACCGTGTGTCACAAGGCAAGCCCACCTGGACTGTCTTTACAACATTTTGATCGCTGTTATTTTTGACAAATTAGCACCGTTGTTTTGATACGTGATGTAATGTGAATAATACACATCAAACATTTTTCTCATTGTATTTTTAATAACTATCCAAAATTTTATTAATAACCCACTTAAACTGTCAAACTGATTTGCAATTTAGTTGTGCTGTTTATTTATATTTTTGAGGTTTTTTTTTTTTTTTTTTTTTTTTTGGGGGGGGGGGGGGTTAATAAAAAAATGCGTGATAACTTTGGACTTATAGGGGAAGAGATTTGAGTCACCGGATCCAAGCAAACAATTGCCGGAACACACCCTGTCAGAGTTCCCAGCTCTTGTTCTGGCAGGATCCGGCTCAAATTAAGCCCAGCCCAGAACTGTTTCTACTGCTATGTTAACTAATCCATTCCATTTGATTAATAGGGGAGTACTCAAACCACTAAAAGTCCACTCCGAGTTTTCCTGATTACCTACAACAACTCACCACATGCAGTGTTTCCCTGAGGTCATTTGCCTTGGCAGGAAACTCATCTCTTCTGGGTTTTTTGTCAACGGTGCAGGGGGAGGAGGAGGAAATCCCTCTGTGTTTCACATGGGGAGGATTCGTGAGAGGAGCAGTGCGTGCAGTGCAGTGCTTCCCACATTAAAGATGTTTCTTATGTAATGTAAACTAAACATTCATTTTAAAGCAACAAATCTTAAAAACATTTGCACAGAAGCTGGTTACTACTTTGTTGACTCATAAAAAGGTTTATCTTATGTGCAGTTCAAGGTCTTTTTTATTTTATTTTATGAGGTTTCCACTGGGTGACAAGTGTGGTAGTTTGGAATTCGGGAGCTCTAATGACAGAGCAATGCTGTTGTATGTACAGAAAGTAGTTTAGTATTGTTTTGAAATGAGTAACATTTTCCGTAAAAAAAAAAAAAGGATTCAGTAAAAAAAAAAAAAAGGTTTGCATTTGTACAACACTACTTATGAACATGAATTAAATACACAACAATCACACATTTCTAAAGATTTACATCCTGTTGACCTGAAACTGCATATTTATTAAACATTTTGAAATAATATTTACAGCTACAATGACTAATATAAATAGGTGATCAGCACCTAACAGCAACATTTAAGCAAAACGGCATGTTTAAGTTTGATTCCATAAGACAGCTTTTTAATAACTTGTTGTTTTTTTTTTGTCTATATATTTCCACAACTACTGTTGTCAGATAAAGATTGTCCTAATACAAAATTGAATCAGAATAAAATGAACTAAAATTACATTGCGTATATTATTTATGGTATGACATTAAAACATAGAACATTTTTCAGAAAGCTATTCAAACATTAGAACATAAAAATATTAATGTTTTCAATCTTTACACCATTTAACATTTGACTGCAACAATGCTGTTTGTATTCATTCAGATAAAAACAAGATCAATTGGCTGTAAAGCTAGAAGTCTGTAGTGACAGCAGTTCTGACAATTCTTTTGAAACAAAACAAACTTGAACATAAAGGGAAAAACTAATCAGAAAAAAATGAAATATATACATATGAGTAAAAACTGTTTAATTTCTTGACAGCATACTCAGCTTTACTCATATTGTTACCATCAAACTCTGGAATCTTTCAGTGTTGATTACATATGAACTCTTACAAACTCTTAAATATTAAGAAAAGTCCTTCAGGACTTTTCTTAATATTTAACACTCAGCAGTTGTCTCTCATGTGTAGTTTCTCATGTATGTTTTAGGAGTCACTGCAAACCACCGCTTTGTTTTCTGTGTGAATTCTCATGTGTGTGTTGAAATTGTGCTGATGGCTAAATCTTTGTCCACAAACATCACAAGCAAATGGTTTGTGTCTATTGTGAATTCTCATGTGTGTTTTTAAATTGCACTGATGGCTAAATCTTTGTCCACAAAGTTCAC